TCGCTCTGAGGATCCCCGCATCTGGCGGGGCCGTCACGCTCATCGTGGGTCTTCCGGGCGCCGATCAAAGCTCCGTCGCGGCGGCTGTAGCGTCCATGGTTGGCGGCGGCAGCGGCGGTGGTGATGGCGGTCGAGGGGTGGCGGCCGGGCCGAGGGTGGCGCTGTTGCCGCCGGACGAAGGGCCGCTGGGGGAGAAGCACTTCGCGGCAGCTTTAGCCGCTGCCGCCGCCGCCGACGGCGCAGCGGTCGCCGCTGCGCCGCGGCACTTAGTCATAGCGACGAGTTCGTACACTGGCCTGTCGGAGCAGTTGCGGATGTTGGCGGCGGCGGCAGTGGGTGGCGCGGCGGGGCGGTGGCGGCTGGCGGCGGTGGTGGTGTGCGTCAGCGGCGACGTGTCGTACGAGGAGCCTGGTCGCGGAGTGCTGGCGGGCGGTCTGCTGGCGCAGATGCTACCCGGCTTCGTGGATTGTGTAGTGCTTGGAGGAAGCGATGCCGCCAAGGTATCACAAGGCACACGGTGTACGGAAATGAAGATCTCGTCGCTAGGATCTGTCGTGCGTCGTGCTAGGATCTGTCGTACGCCTTTCGTACCTCGTAACACGGGTGACCCGCGGGTCGGTTGGATGGCTGCAGGTTTCGGAGCTGTCTGAGTTGGTGGCCTCGCGACTTCCCGAGGTGCCGCTGGTGCGGTCGAGTCGTACGGCATTGCTGAGGGCCCGCCAGGAGCTGCTGCCGCCGCCGGCGGAGAGAGCCGTACGGCTTGCGTCGCAGCGGGCGGCCGCAGACAGGGCGGCGTGGGCGCCGCTGGCAGCTGCCGCCACCGCTGCCGCTGCCGTCGGCGGGTCGTGCTCGGGCGGTTTGTTTGGGCAGCTGCGGGCGACACGAGTGGTGGTGGAGGGCAGTCTGGACGTGACTAAGCTCAAGTGTGTATTGAACGACGCGCGCGCGCGTGTGTGTGTATGTGTATATGTATGTGTGTTGGGGAGGTTGGCATTGGATTACATACAGACGGACCGGCGAATAAAACATAGATAAAAATCAGGAATAAACCCTAAAGTTACACACGGATCCGCGTGTGTGTACAACCTCCAGTACTAGTGGGTATGGCCATGGGGGCATCGTACCTACTCTTTTAAGGCCTGTGAGCGCATGATGAGGAGGCGTTGTGCGGGTGGCGGTGAGCTGCAGCAGGGCTGGTACCGCCCCTTACCCGGTAGCTCGCCCCGCTTGCCACCACCGTCATCCCCACATCTACTGCTACTGCTACTGCTGCTGCAGCTATTTGTGGCGCTGTTGATTGCTTTTGCCCGTACGGTGTTGCCGTACTGCCGTAGGGCTGCAGTAGCTGGTCTGGGTGCGCCTCAAGACCCTGCCTGGGCGCCCAGACTCCCGCTGCTGGATGAGGACAACAACAACAACCACAACAACCAACATAACCAACTCAACCACCACCAGCAACACGACGCGGCAGCGGGAAAACAACCCGTGCGAGCAGCGGCTTCTCCTGCCGTACCAGTAGCATCAGTAGCATCCGACGGTCCTGGATCCGTTTGTGGCCAGCAGCTGGTTTGCGTGAGCGGCTGTTTGCGACTGAGTGACGGCGGGGCCCTGATGGAGGTGGTGGGGACCAGGCAGTTGGCGCTGAGGAGCCGGGAGTGGCCGCTGGCGGAGGCGGCTATAGTGCTGGGTGAGTGAGTGAGTGTGAGAGAGAGAGAGAGAGATGGAGATAGATACATAGGTACATAGAGAGATAATGTGTGGGGGTGTGGAGAAGTTGTGTAAGGGGTGTGGAGTGGGTTTCGTGGCCCGCATTGTGGTGCAATAGAGGGGCAGGGGGTGGGTGGGCTGGGATGAGGGTGGTGGGTGTGAGGGGGCGAGGCTGGGAGGTGGTAGTTCATTAACATGCAGGGGGATGGGTGTAGGTGTGTGTGTGTGTGTGTGTGTGTGCTAGCTAGACCCTGGTTTCGGAGGTTGCGGCCGCAGGTGGAGTGAGGGGCTCTGTGGTGTGGGGAGATGGGGGCAGATGCGATGCGGCAGCGGGGTACGTTATTAGAAAGGTACGGCAGTGTGACTCACCCATATGGGGGCAATTCCTCCAATCCGTTGCTGTGTCCTCCAGGCAGTCCGTACCTCACTTCATCTCACACTTCATCTCACCCTACTCGAGGGGATCTCTCTTCCCCCGGACCAGCTTTCCCCGCCCCCAAAACCCGCTGGCTGTGCAGGTGCTCCCGTACTGCCGTACGACGGGCGCTCCCCGGGCGGTGAGCTGCTGTTCGTGGGCAGCGGAGCCGCTGTGGAGCCGCAGCGTGTGAAGGCCCTGCTCGCGTCCTGCGGTGTCGGAGGGGACAGCAACGGCAACGGCGGCAACGGCAGTGCTGCGGCAGCGCCGGCGGCGGTGCCGGCAAGTGCCGGCGAGCTGACGTCATCACAGCGTACGGCCATTCGGGCGGCCCGCCTTTGGGACCCCCTTCCCGAGGGTTACTGCTTCAACGGGACGCAGTACTTCGACGCCTTCGGGGACGCGTCCTTGGAACATCCGCACATGGACAGGTGGGCGGGGGGGGGTAAGATTTGAAGGGTTTTAGGGTTTTACGGTTGCTTGTCCTCACTCCTCACTTGATCCCACGACGATCCCACACATACACACATACACACCATTTTAAGCTCAATTCCCGGTCCTCATCTCTCTCTCTCTCTTTCCCTCCATACCTCTTCCCTACCTTACTATCTGTTCCGGTTCTCAATCCCCCACTTCATGCACTTTTCCGGCACAGGTTCATAGCGGAGTGGATATCGGAGCAGCAGCAGCAGGCGGATCGATCGCAGCGTGGCGGTACCGAAGCGGGGCGAAGTGCGGGAGGAGCCCCGCGAGTGGTGCGAGTGATGGGGCCTTCGGGGCTGTAGGTGGTCGGGGACTTCCGACGGGGGGGGGTGGGGCCTCTGGGCCGGGGGCCTGGATGCACCGGTGTCCGGTTATGTTGCAAGCGTGCGCATGTAAGTAGGGTGTACGGGAATGTACGAGAGCTAGGTGTACGTGGTGAGTGTGTTGGTGCTGTTAATGCTGCACACTACATATACTACACGTATGTTGTATGGCGGTAAGGGTGTGTCGTATTGACGACAAACGTCGTTGTTGCTGTAATTTTGGAACGCTGAAGTGTCTGGGTGGTGGTGGTGGAGGTGGTGGTGGTGGTGAAGGTGGTGGTGATGTCGATTTCCTTTGGGATTTCGGGTCATCTGTGCCCTTGACCACCACCCTATCATATGACCACCACCTCGTTCGCAGATGATACGTTCACAGCGCATGGACCCAGCGCAAAACCCTCCATTCATCCAGACCATGAAATTGCATTAATGTCGACAAGATGACCCTTTTCCTGCTGCTGTTGTAAACAGACCTGTCAAGCCCGGTACGCTACCTCCTTTCCTTCCACTGTTTTTAACTCTGGATCCTCACTCCCCTCTCCCTTCGAGTACGGGATGTCCGAGAGGGGCATTCAACGCCCAGTCAATGTCAACGCCCTCCTGCACCTGTGTGTGTGTGTGTGCCAGTACCAGTATACCAATCACACCGCAGTTCAGATATCCCCAAATACTTTGCATTCACCAGACCGACACAACATCCAGTAATAATATGCTGCTATAGTGCTGTTAGTGCTGTCAATGCTGTCGTTTCCTCACCTCAGGTATAATAGACAGACCAGGCTTTTCCAGGCCCCACGGCTGCTCTCCCCCCGGCGGCCCCTAACGCTCTCTCCACCTATCAACCCTAAGGTTACCTCGCCACGCGCGGAAAGGTGCCCATCTGCTGACGGCCCCCCAAATACGTACATACAGACATACATGAGGCATACATATGCATGCATAGACGTGCACTTGGCCGTATCACCCCTTGCTCCACGTCTCCTTTACATGCACAGGCCGATACAACCTACTAGACCTGGCTAAGAGCACTAGGGCACTAGGGGCCACGGCGTGTCGCTGTCTGCGCCTCATAAGGCCCGGCAAGAAGTCACCATGGACAGCCCCATCAGCAACACCATGAGCAGCAGTCCGGCTAGCAGCGGCTGCGGCCGACACAGCCACAGCCAGCTGGTACCCCAGGCGCCGCTCCCTCCGGCAGCAGCAGCAGCCGGCGACAGCGCCGTTTGGCCGCCTCCCCGGGAAAGCAGAGAGCGGCGGCGAACTTCCCCAACCAGCAGCTGTCAGGGGTATGACAGGAACGCAGCGAGGGAGGAAGGGGAGGAATGAGCTGCAGTAGAAAAGAAATGAAGCTCCTGCCATTTCCAGCGCGCCAAGTACCACCGTCCCGATTGGATTGGAAGGAACGCGGTCTTAGTAACCCCTCCTCTCCCCTCCCCTCGTTTGTGGTTCGTCTTCCCCTCCCCTCCCCTCCCCTCCCCTCCCCTCTCACCGCCGCCAGCAGGACCCCCTGCGCCACCACGTGTAGGCCCAGGCAGCAGCTGGCCTGGATGATGAAGTCGCCAACCGCCTGAGCGGCGCGTTGAAGGAAGGCGGGAAAGGAGGGGGAACCGGGGAAAACATCGCTAACGCCAGCCCAATCGACAATCAGCGTGTGCGTATGTGTGTGTAAGTGTGCGCGCGTGTGCTTCTCTTGCACACAAAATTCTTTCCGCGCAAAAACCCCCAAAACCTAAGCCCAATCTGCGTGTGTAGGTGGTGCATTTGTTTGCGTGACAAGAGTATGATGGTGTAAGCCTTCTCGCCGTGAAAGGGCGCCAATGACACGCAGACCAGCAAAGGTAAACGCCAAACGGCCCAAGCTGCTCTAAAACTCCAAACCCGGGCTCTGATGTGGGTGGCTTACGTCAAGTCCTGCGGGATCCCCTCTGTCGCGCTTTTTTAATTCGCCACATTCTCTGCAGAAGAGAACACACGCACACACACCCTCCCCTCGTCCAGTACGGCTGTGCATGTGTCCGTACCTGACCGTACACGAACCCGATTTTGAACAGCAGCGAGCTCGACTTGGTGACTGTCTCCGAGTGTTCCGAGCTCACAGAGCGCCAGGGGTTGCCGGCGGGGTCGGGGATACAGCCGGGGCGGGAGGCTACTCGGTGACGGTAGGGCTTGGGCCACCGGTGCCGCCTGCGTGTGTGTGGGGGGTGGGTGGGGTGGGTGGGTGGGGGAGTGGAACAGGTGAGGACAAGGGGGCAAGCCGCGTGGAGGTGGGGATGTTGGGATATGAACACCGCACTCGCTTGTGAGATCTGGGGCCACTGAAACTACCCCTAACTCCTCCCACCTCCCACCCTCTCCCCGGCCCCCCGTGCACCCACCTAGACGCCGCAACAATCGGTGCGGAGGAGGCGGTTGGATCCCAGGACACCTTCTTGACCGCCGAGGTGCAGTGCGTCTCACGGGGCATACATGATGAGTAGTTGTTCAACCGAATGTGCAACGTCAGGGCGGTTTGCTCGTACAGGTGGTTGGCGCGGGAATGGCCGGGCGGCGCGGTGCAGTTGATGGCCAATGCGCATGCCACTGCCGGCCCCAGCAGCAGCTGCTGAGACGCCGCCCCGCGCACCCAGCCTGAGGTTGCAGGAGGATGGATGGGGGGGCGAGAGGGGGGCCGATGAGACGCGAGAGACGTGCGCGCGCGCGTGAGGAGAGAGAGAGGAGAGATGGGAGAGCGAGGAGAGATGGGAGAGAGAGGAGAGATGGGAGAGAGAGAGGAGAGATGGGAGAGAGAGAGGAGAGATGGGAGAGAGAGGAGAGAGAGAGGAGAGATGGGATAGGGAAAGGACAGAGCCCTGTTACAATCGTCGGACAATCGGTAACCAGGAAAAGGGAGAACGGACCGAAATCCGCATTTCGCAGCTCAAGAGGGCACTCCGTCGGATCTATGCGATGACACCCTTGATGCCTTCATCGCACTTAAAAACTATCCTAGCCTCGGCTTAATCAGCGGTTTCCGCTTCTCAATCCCCCCCAGCCCTCTGCAACCCCATCAACACCCCGGCAGCCGCCCCACCCCCCCTCCCGCCCCCCCCCCTCACCCTGCAGGCCACTCGCACAGAATGGCTGCTTCTTCACTCGCTGGTAGTCCTGGTCCGTCATGTTGAAGAACGGCACCGAGTACTTCTCCGTGTACGAGTAGTCCGAGGGGGAGCCGCTCTGCTGGGCACTCGCGTACCCGTCCCTGGCCAGCACTGCCTTGAGGCTGTCCAGGGGCCCGCGGATCTGTGGGGAGGTACGACACGGAACGGGGCTCATATGTGCTGTCTATGTGTATGTATGCCTGTCTATATATGTATGTATGTATGTATGTATGTATGTATGTATGTATGTATGTATGTATGTATGTATGTATGTATGTATGTATATATATATATGTATGATGTGTGAAACAGGGGGGTATATCTTCGCCCGTGGCAGCTACCCTGCGAAACCCTGCCTCCCCCAGTATTTTGGGGCACCCTCATCCAGTCACCCTAGTCAACTTCTCAGTGGATCGCTCAGGTTCCGCACCCATCACCAGCATCCAACGGAATCTGCCGGGTCGACAGCGGCCCAACTCCGTTCCTGGTCGGCTCGCAGGTTAACTTTATCCCAGGTCACTACCGTCCATCAACTAGGGGCGCAATACCTTCCACCATCGGGGGCAATGGTCCTTGCCTTACCAGTAGTGCCTGACCTATGCATGCATGCATGTATGTATGTATATATATTTATATATGTATGTATGTACGTATGTATGTACGTATGTATGTGTGTTGCCGTGTGGTCCCAACCGCGTGTTTGCATCCCACCTCCCTCTCACTCCGTCACACACCCCACCCCACCTCCACCCCCACCTCCACCCCCACCCCAC